TACCACTTTCGCAGGTGCCAAGGAAGTGGAAGCTTGTGGCAGTTGTCTCAATGTCCTCACGATGTCCGCCAGACTTGACCTAGTGGCTGCTCTAGTGTCTCCTTTTTCCCCTGCGTCCCAACGGCCGCGACAAGCTTGCTAATTAACAGATGCTCCAACAAAGCACGACCGCCCCAGACTTGACCTCAGCATAGTCAAGGCCACATGTGCAGGCAGCGCGCACCTAGCGCGCATCGGCCAGCCTGCCTCCTTACCCATAGTTCTTTGTGTTCATGTTCCCCTGACTGGCCCTTTGACCTGCCCAATCAGACAGCCCACACGCACTCCGGAGTTCTGACACGAAAAACGGCAAACGCTTACACAACACACCTCTGCGACAAGCTCCCAGACGGAAGCTTGTATCTCTCGCAAGCATACAGTCTATGCACGGCAGCTTGCCTTGTGTACGAATAAATTGGTCCTGATATTTGACTACCTTCTTCTATCAGACGGAGCACTAATAATGTAGTGGTTATAGTAGATCGCACATCCTTGACCGCTACATATTGGTGACCACCGGTTTTTCGAACACAATAAATTGTTGAACACTCCGTCAGCCCTTCCTTTATCTCTATCACGATGCTGGATAACGAACAGTCAGCCAATTCTCCCTCCACTTCACATGTGTCTGTCAAATTGCCAGCATTCTGGGCACGAAATAATGAGCTGTGGCTTGCACGTTGTGAGGCCAAATTTGAAGCGTGCAAGATCATTCACCAGGAAAACATGTTCAATCACTTGCAGCGCAGTCTTCCTGACGAGTATGTGGAGGAGCTATGTGATCTCCTCCTTCATCGTCCGCAAGAGCAGCCTTACGACAAATTGAAAGAGGCTGTTGTAAAGCGAGTAGCTATGACGGAGGATCGTTGTATACGCCAACTCCTCACAGACGAAGAGCTCGGTGACCGGAAACCGTCTCAACTTCTGAGAAGGATGCAGCAACTCGTTGGTGAACGGAAGTTCGAAACCTCCATTCTCCATCAGTTTTTCCTTCAACGCCTCCCACTTGACGTTCAGACGGTACTTGCCGTTTCTCAAGGGACCATTGACGAATTCGTCGAGCTGGCTGACAAAGTAATGGCGTTGAGAGTCGCGGAGACACATTACGTGAGTCAAAACACACTTCTACTTCCTAACAATCGTATTGAATTGAGCAATTGTTCACGCAACTGACGTCTCAGCTCAGTGCACTTACCACTGGGGAGGGACGGCAATCGCGAAACAGATGGTCATCAAGAGACCGTCGGCAATCTTCTTCTCAATTGCTTCCTGGAACACGGATGTTCGCTTGTATTGGCAATCTTCCGCGTGTCCGCGCGACCGCCGTCAGCCGTTTTCAAGTAGCTGATGCTGGTATCACCATCAGTTCGGAGCCAGAGCGCGACGATGCGTGCAGCCGTATTCATAAATATCTTATCCTCGGGCCTCGGGAAACGATCCCGCCCGACAGTAAAGGCGACTGCTGCTGGGAGTGCTACCAACCTTCACACTGGCCGCTTGTTCCCCTGGGATCTTATCGCTGGTACCAAATTCCTCACCGACTCTGGTGCCGAGGTTAGCGTGATCCCGCCAACACCGGCCGACCGCAAACAATGCAGCACATCGTGTTTTACTGCTACCAATAATTCCAGCATCCCTACCTTTGGTCAGCGCTCCATTATGCTTTATTTGGGCCTTCGACGGACTTTTCGATGGGTTTTCGCCGACGTCTCTGTCGCTCTCATCGGTGCTGATTTTCTAACTCATTTCGACCTGCTAGTCGATCTGAAAAATCGCCGACTCGTTGACAGCGTGATGACCCTCTGTGCCCGCTGCCAGTCCGACGCGAATCAGTGCTTCAGCCCTCTCCCCGTCATGCTCATTTCTGACTGTCCATACAATCCACTTCTTAGACAACAGTCTCTTGGCTTGCTCAAAGAAGTCGCTGACGATGAGCGAGGAGGCCGTCAAGTCCTTCAACGACGTCAAGGCCGCTCTTGCGAAAGCAACTCTCCTTGCCCATCCCCATTTAGATGCTCATCAAACTCTCATGAAAAATGCTTCCAGCACTGCTGTGGCGTTCTTCTGCCTCTGGCTTTCTTTTCGAAAAAGCTTAGCCCAGCGGAGACTCGCTACAGTGTCTTCAGCCGCGAACT